GTATTCGGATGTGATGTATTTTGGTCCATTGTAGTTTGTATGCATTGTTAACTATTGTCTAACAGTCAGGCTATTTTTGTTGGGATCAATTCAACAAAATATTATAATATTTTTTGTCATAGAATTTTTTTTATTTAGTACCTGTGTGTACTTTTATAACATTACGTATTTAAAAGCAATATTATTGAATATTATTATTTGCTTCTATTTTCATTTATTTTAGTTAGTATTTGTTTTTTTTTCATTTATTTTAGTTAGTATTTATTTTAGTTTGTATAGTAATATTTATCGTAAAATATATTTTTCCCTTTTATTCAATTTAAATATTTAAAAAAAACTTTTAAATAAGATTATGCTCGGATGAAATTTTAATTTTATGATGCAATAATTTTTAACTTAATTTACTTCGTACATGTTATGACATTCAAGTGATTAGCTATACTAATAAATTAAATGTATTTTGTGCATAAATATTTAAATTATCATCTGTCTTATCAAAAATAAGTTTTAAAATTATCTTTTAATATTAAAAAAATGTTTGATTATGGATTTAGTTGGTATTTTATGTTATTACTCTTAAGTAGGTCAACTGAAAGTTATGTGCTGATAAAAAATATGTTTAGCATGTATAAACTGCGGTATTTACATGTATATATTACTATACAGATGGGGACACATTAAGCACATGACAAGAATATCGAATGTCTCCGATGTAGACGTGTTTAATTTAATTAACGGTAGCAAAGCGCATGTTTCGCTCTCGGAACATTTGATATTTTGTCTGCACCGTTGATAAGAAAACGTACTACATATAAGAAATACGCGAACATAATGTTTCAAGCATATAAGTATACTCACAGGAAAATATCTAGAAACTCGTCCCAATTCACAGAAACCACATGTTTGTTTTATCATTCACTGACTTGTTGAGCACGTGTGAAAGGAGGTTTGTTTGAAGAGTTTTTATGTTAAATATATGACTGTATCGTGTATGGATATTTAAAATACGAATTTATGCCGGCCGGCATGCGGCTATCGCGTCACGCGTGTGACACCGAGCGCGTATATCGGCTCACTCAGTGCTCATTGGCTGAATAAAAGACGCTCAGTTGAATGTACCATGGAAAGACATCGTGCCACGCGCGTACGCCGCACATGTTACATTTTTGTATTTATACATTGTGTCACGTCCATTGCTGTTTTCTTATCGATGTTCTAATCACTAACGATAAAACACGATTCGATGTACGCTATGATTGTAAAATTATCATTCCATTGTTGTTGATGTAGTAGATAACGCAACATATGTTAATTTTTTAAGACTAAAAATAAAATCGATGCGCCTATCAGTTAAGTCTAAAAAGGGTATAAAAGTATTGACGGATTATGAATGCAATTGTGAAATTGTATTGTGCGTAAAACGATGGCGTTGTATGACACATATTTGTATTTCCTGTGTATTATCTTCAAATGTAGCTTTTATTGTCATTTACATAAAACAATGTAATACATTCTTATATGTCATATCAGTTAAGCCGTCTTCTAATCATAATTTATGATTAATTTATACTTAACCGTTTCCCTACTTTATCTTCGATCATATAGAATTTATATAAAAATAACGAAAACAAACTAAATGTATGGGATGAGTTGAATTTATTAAAATTATTTTATTAAAAATATTTTCTTGGCAAGAAAGCATATTATATTAGTAAACATGACTAGAAAATGATTTTCATTCAAAGAACGCATTACCAAATTCAATGGTTGAAACAAAATTTCTAAACACAATAATTTATAATGTCCGCTTATTTGATCAGAATTAAAAAATATAAAAATTTATTCGATACTAATTAAAGAATATTTTTGCTTATAAAAAACATATTTGGTAATTTAGGGCCGTGTTGAACAGTGAACCTCCATGTTTGATGTCAATTGAAATTAGTAAGTTCAGCATTAATTAAATTTTATTTAATATATCAAACAGCCGGCCATATTGAAAGAGCCGTGACATACTAAGCCGTTGCTTAATATGGGTCTAACCTGTAAAGATATATATTATCTATTTATAACTTAAATTATATTCACGTTGTTTATATGTGAAACATATTAAAGTGATGTCCTCATTTATAAGTAGATGTTTCCGGTAGATTTACCGGTTTTGAAACGGTAAATAATTTTAAATTATCATATAATATATTTTTGTTCTTATTTTCATTACCATATCAAAATATAGTATGAGGCTTGTATTTTATTTTTAAATATTTACAAACAAAATCGAATGCCTGCATTATATTTTAAAAGATAATGTCATACATTTTATTTATTAGAATAATGCTTATTAAAAAAAAACAATGCTTAGCGTGTTCAACTTTGTTCCACATAAGTCAATTCCGTCCTAAATACATAGTTTTAAATTAATTAAGATTACAGTATTTACTCTGATATCTAATAAAAGACTAAGAATATTGAGATTTCTTTTATATTATATTTATTTATTTTCATTAATTTCATATAAACTTTTTGTAATATTTTTTATAATAGTTTGTTTCCGTCATGATACAGTATCTTGGATGTATTAACGAGATGCTTTAACCTTTTATTTTTCGTTCAAATAATTTTAAGATATAAATATATAACTTACGAATTAAATGCTCTTACATACAATAGTTTGATAATGATTATTGAATATTTCATGTGCTGTTTGATGAAGAAATAAGAATAATACCTACTTAATTTGTATTTAAGTTTATTTATATTTTAATTTTTAGCTTACATATGTATAAGTTATATTAACTTACTAGGCGAGACAGTTTCTATGTTTGATCATTAATTGACCTACCATATTAAAAAGTACGAAATTCTGCTTAAATAATAATTTAGATTAGATATAAGTGATAAAATTTTAACATTTGTCAAGGTTACTTATAGTACCTGTATTTAAATGGTTATAGCACTAGATGTAGGTCGTATAAGCAAGTTCATTAGGTTTCGTTGGAACTAATACTAAGTACCTACTTAAATATAATATTTACGATAGTTGTATTAAAACTAAATTACTAATATTTCCATAGAAAAAACAATAAAGTATTTCCTTGTTTCAATACCTCGTTTCATTAGTTATTTAGTAAACAAATAAGCATTCTTCCCACCATCAAGTTAGCCAATCGAAGTTTTTAGGTCAATTATACAACCACTCCAATATACCCGCACTCCGATATAACAATATTTGACTATCAAACAGAGCTCTTGAATACTCGCTTAAATGTAATAAAACAGCAAAATAACTTGAGGCTATTGTTTTCATAGAGATATCCCATCATGGGTAAGATCAAAGCATCGTATAGAAAATAGAGGTAAATAGAAAATACGCCTACAAAAATTTACTACGCAATAACACGCGAAAGGTGTTTGCCGGATTGTATTGGAAGGCGCTTACATATTTTATAAATGAAATTGATTGTATATATAAGAGGTATTTTATTATTTGGTACACGTAAGTATATATCAACATCAGAATGTAAGTTACTGAAGTATTTAAATAATTGATTACTATAATGAGTTATTTCACATTTACTGAATTGGAGTAGGTATATTTATGCTTAGTAGAAACAAGAGGTGTTAAACTTAAACCTCAAATGTGCTGACATTTCACTTAGTTTCATCTTGATAACTTGACTTTCGTATCTACGAGAACCTATCTATGTATCTACTACTACTAGTACTACTACTACTACTAGTATCAGTCAATGGGTAAAAACAAATACTTTTCTAAAACTTACTTGTGTGTCATTTCATCTATTTTAGAAATCATTATACGATTACATAAAATTGACAATGTTTGTTTGATTTTAGTATGATAGGTATTTGGGTAGATTTTTTTTAATTAAAATATCTAAATCTCGTATTTTTAAATATATTTTCATTCACAAAAAAATATCATAAATATATGGAATGTTAGAATAAAACACTTTAAAAATATCATATTTTGATTTTATTTCATTTGATGGTAAAAGATTTCCAATAAAAACAAGATTCGGTTCAAATATTTTTTAATCACAACACGATCGTGGTAATCTTAAAAGCAAAATAAAAAACAGAACATACAATTTTATCTTTATGTCGTTCTAAAGTAAATACATTTCTTTCAAGTCTAATAACTTGGTATTATAAAAGTGGAAAGATCTAATTACATTTATATATTATAAATATTTATCATATAATAAAGGATAAATATAGTATCAAATGAAAAATTCATTACAAAAGCTATATATAAGTATATATATTACTTAGACAATACTTGAGCGTTACAGATAGTGCTTTGTGTTAATTAGATGTTTTGAGTAATCTTCCGAAAGCTTTTAAAATTAAACTATGATTTTCGGATTTAAGTATATTCTTGCATCAGAATCATCAATGTGAACACATACACAAATATTTTCACATACGAGTACATACCCTCGCTCTTGAAGACTAATTCACGAGGCTATTGCAAGAAAAAATTATCAAAAGTTTGTCTAACTCTAACACATGAGATCTCTTTTAAAATATTAAATCCTTTATCCTGTACACCTTAAGATATAGTTAGAGCATTGAGCGTTTATCCAGAGTATAATGCAAAAAATTAAAGTCTTTGGTAGGCAGATGACAAATTATAAGACCAACTGGCAGATACTTTCACCTCGTCTGCCCGTGATCACGGTTGCTGTAAAGTAACTCAACCATCGTTACTTAGTATATCCGAAAATCATAGTTTTATTTTAAACATGTACTCGTGTAATGTAAAATCTATCATTAAAAAAATCTTTGTCTCTGAATAAAAAATATCAAAAATACAAAAGAAAACCCTGTCCTTGTAGGATCTTCGGACGGAAAACTGTATCAAAAATAAATTAATAAAAAGAAATAAAAAAATAACCGCACAAATTCACGTAAATTTTGAGCGATGTTTGACTATTTGTGACTTCTTGTTATTATTTGCTATTATTTGTTATTATATGTTATCTTTTGTTAACATTCGTATGTTTCCTCTTGGATATCATCTCGGCTTCTTCTATAGTGTCTGGCAAAGCAACGTTTATCGTCTCTGGTAGTGTGAACACCAATAAACTTGCAGCTAATGCCATGGATCCGAAGAAAATCGCCGGGAGATTGTGATAGTATAACGTCTGGGAACAAATAACAAGATCCACAATGATACAAGAATTAAAGTGTAAAGAATACATGAAATTCTGCCTAAATGTTATGGAATTCATATGATAGATTAAATTTAAATGAAACATTTAAATTTAAATGTTTAAATGAAAATATTAGTACACGTGCTTTATTTTTGTAAAAAACTACATACTCCCGACGTTTCGGTTACTTTTCAGCAACCGTGATTACAGGCAGACGAGATGTGAATGTTGACATCTCGTCTTCCTGTCCCTTCTCGTTTTTTACGAAACTAGAGTAACATTTTCGAAAAAATATTAGTTTCATTTAAATGAGTAAAACTCGCTAAAATTTAAGATTCCATTAAGAGACAATACATTAATGTAAGGCAATAAAAAAATAATTTGTCTTTACCAGAACAATGATTAATCGATGGCAATTTTTTATATAAGATTTTGAATGGCTGGACAGATTTAAATCTATAGAAGAAGATTTCATAGAAATTTTATTACAGCATGGGAATCAACAAATTGTTATCTCAAAGATTCCTTAATAGCAAGTTTAATTATTTGGTTGAAGTAAAGAAAGTCAATTAAAATCTAATAAACTACGATATATGTATATATGTAGAAAGTAGCCAGAAAAAGCTAGTTTAATAATTAATCCGACTGAATATAAAGAAGCAATGAAATGCAATCTCAATATAAAGAAGCAATTATCAAAAACGTCAATAAAATATACATTTATTTGTAATTTATAGCCTTCTCTCTTGTAAAATGTGCCTTATTTATTGATTTAATGACATATACAAGTCAAGCAAGTTAGAATTATATATAATACTAAGAGATCTCATACTTACAAGTAAAGGCGTCAGCGGTGCTAAAGTTGATCCGACCCTTCCAAGCGACGAGCATACAGCCAGAAGAGATTGTCTCACGCTAGTTGGGAACACTTCTGATACGTAGATGTAGACTGAACTGTATGACACCGTTATGGAAAACTTACCAGATAAATACAGTACGAGAGACAACCATTTCTGATCTGTGGGATTTAATATTGTTTATTATGCAAATTCTTTAATATATCAAAACCATTAATGTTGCCTAGAATGATTTTTCTATACCAAACATTTTGGATTAAGTTTCGTTAGTGAAAAAACTAATGTCATCATTGTTAGTAGCAACTTAAAATGCCGAAGAAAAAAATGGTTAAATCTTTAAAAATATTTTTTATTTGAATGATTGTATTCTCAGAAAATATGAAATAGGAATTTTTCGTCAATCATAAAAAGAAATGAAATGAATATATTATGAATTCCTTAAACCACGTCCACCGAAAACTCCAGCACGTAATAAAACTTCGGTCGGACGCAATATTATATTTTATCACCATTTAAATTGCTGTAAGGTATCCACATCAAAATATCTACTTCATTCATTTATTCATCTAATGTTTGCTAAACAACGTTCCAAGTTTCCCCGGTGGAAAGTCATTTTATATATAACTATCGAAAGCCACATTTCAACGGGAACTGATGGAGAAATCGGCTTAACTTAAATATTCCATTAATTCTGCCCGTTGGACAAACATCGATCACTAAATAAGCCAGAAATACAGCAAAATTCCGCGGTCCATAACTTGAGATTTCGTCAATTTATCCTCAACTGTTACTGAGATTATTTACTCGGCTTTGTTCGCGTCAAATCACGCGTTGATGAGATTGGGATGGATATTCGAATCATTGTCAATTGGTTATCTTTAAGTATATTGAGGGGATTTGGAATAACGAAATGGCATTTGTAATCTGAAATGGAAATCTTATAATGCTATACTCTGATATATGACTTGTTACAGAGATCAAATAAACTATATCTGAAATTATATTTGACAATATTGAACTTACCTTTTGGCAGAAAAGACAATCCGATACACAAACAAGCACTCAACACGTAAGTTATTATTAGCACTTTTTTTCTTCCAAATCTGTCTAACACCAAGAAACACACAATGTTCGCTGGTATCTCAGCAAATGCGACCAGCATGAAGTTAATATATTTATTACCACCTAATGACACAGAGTTAATGGAGAGGCCGTAGTAAACAAAAGTACATGTTATCCACAGAAACGAACATATAGCCAACCGTTTTCTCATAACACTAGATCTTACTACTTTCACAAAATTGGAAGTCTTCTCTTCTACATGACTTGTTATATCGTCTTTTTGCTTCTCGTTTTCTTGGTCTTCATTTAGTTTTTCTAATTCATACAGTGGAGTCAGCGTTTCGTCTGATAATTGTACTTTATTCATTTTAGCAGCTTTCTTTAAAATATCGATTGCCTCCTCATTGCGTCCTTTGCTAAGCAACCATCGTATACTTTCATTCAAAATCCAAATGTACGAAATGACTAATACAGCTGGAAGGTAAATTATTCTCAACAGATGCCTCCAATTTTGAAGCCACCATGATAAAGCTGCCAATGTCATCAAACCCGACACATAAACAGCATTTATGACGGTATTTCCGAAAACTCGACCCTTTGGACCTACTAATTCCATGGCTGAAATGAAATACTAGCAATAAATATGAATGTCTATACGTATATATCAAGATATTATGACTTAATGATAATAATTAATATTCACCAAGAACAAACGCCGTGCTATATGCACCAGCTCCTAAACCTGCTTCCAGGAACTCAAACACGAGCATCATAACGTAATTCGTTGAAAATGATCTTAGGAAACCGAAGGTACCATTCATGAGTGATGCAATTGATAGCGCCAGTTTTCTGCCAAATCTATCTGATATATACCCTGTAAGTGGAAGCGATAGGAAGAGACCTGCATTGTGAACAGTCCCTATCAGAGTCCTCTTCCAGTTTTGGCAACCAAGGTCGAACTGCAAGAATCACTTTTTAACTTACAATGACATCCCGAAACCGCTTTATTTATAACTGATGAAGTATCAATAAGTTTACTTTCCTATTCCCAAGTTATTAGCTTACATTAAATATTGTTATATAAATAAATGAAATGCATAAATGAAAAGCATATTTTAAAATAAATAATCAAATGAAAATACAAATATATGTACTTAATACACATCAGTAATTTCAGTAACAGACTTTTTATTATATGCAAGGTTCATAATCAAGTTTATCATATAGAATGAAATGAGTACTGATATAATTAATTAAGTTCTGCTTTACTTTATTGCGATTTATTATTTCTTATTGTAATATTCTGAGGTATAGAAAAGGAAGGTTTTCTTTTTCTCCTCATAATGTTTATTTAAGAATTAAATTTGTATACAATAATAATTAATTATAGCGTACTATAAATAATACTTAACTTTGATTAAATTTCTAATTAGCGTTATACACTTAGTGATTTCAGAAAATAGAAGTAGTTTGCAAGGAATATCTTAATATAATTTTCTAAACAACTATCATTTACATTTTATTATATTGAAAAATATGTAGCAATTGATTTTTGGATTTTGAGATATAAGATTTTTGCGAGTATTCATTAAAATGAAACTAATATTTTCGAATTACCATGCGTATTTTAATATATAAAAAATCGGTTACTTTGCATCAATATTTAAAATTGATTTTTGGATTTTTCTATTGAACTATATTGTTTTATTACACTGTTTTAAACTAATCTGTTTCTCTAATAAGAATCTTACAAAACAAAAAATATAATCTGTTTTTTAAATACCCAGCAAGTATTTATTTCGATTAATCATAAATAATAATTATTATTTATTATGATTGATTATTATTTGGGAGTAACGGTGGTTATTTAAAACTGATGTATTTTAATCCCATGTATAACCTAGTTCATATAATTTTAGGAGTTTCACGTCACTTTACAGCATTTTTGATAAACCAATTTAAACTTTGCATGATATAAAAGTTTGCGACAAATTTAAATTAAACGTTTATAGGACGTGCTTTGAGAAGTTTTTAAGTGACGCGTATAGAGATTTCACAAAAAAATTATCGCTATCTTTTTTAAATAGACTACCTCACTACAAATAAGAAACACCTTATTTGGTCTTGGTAATGTTAAGAAAATATAGAAAGAGATTTAAGACTTTCGTGAGTATATATTTAAATAAAACTACTACTTATTATTACGTATACTACTGTAGTAATCCGAAAAGATTAGTTTCATTAATATCAATTTGTAATTCGTAGAAATTATCAAATGCTATTCCATTGCTATTTTTAGTTAACCCAAAGAGGTTTTTTGTGCCTAAATCTTTGAATAAGATGATATTAATGAAGATTTATTGTTAAAAATGGGATCGTTTAATATGCGATATACGGTTAGTGGCTGAACCGAACAAAAAGTATCGCTATGTTAAATATAAATTCTCCATAATACTCACATCTTTAACAGCTGAATTCTCATTGCTGTACACATATTCTTCGCAGATTTCTGTGATAGATGTATTAAAACTATCGATATTGCAGGTGTAGTTGTTAATATGTTTGTATCTCAAACACTTGGACAGAACGTCTTTTTCTTTTGGTATTGCGTGTGAGAGCCAGGAAGTATTGTTCACGTCTTCGCATTGTTCTATCTTGCATCTGAAACAAAAATCTTCTGTTATAGCTACATATAATATCTGGCCTTATTTAAGTGTGTTGATTGGAAATTAGTGTTTACGTGTGTGCGTGCATGTTTGTGTGTGTGTGTGTGTGTGTGTGTGTGTGTGTGTGTGTGTAGCATAGTAGTTATTAAAAGGAGCGAGTAACTCACGTGTACTTTGTGATCATTAAATGACAATAAATGTGTGTCAACCCTTGAAGGCATGTGTACATATAAGTATAAGCTTATTAATTATTATTAAAAAATTAGGTAAAAAAACTTTTTGAATTAAACATATGCATAGACTAGACTAAAATATAAGCGTGGGGCACGTCAATTGTCTACAAATTATCGACTTAATGTGCGATAGAAGAATCGTTTAATTCGTCGTTAGGCAGTTGGCCCACAGACGGTGAGGAAATTACTTACTATTTTCTTGCTCATGGAAATTACAACTGTCTAATTATAGTGTAACATTACAAAACAAACATTCAATTTAGCATAGTAAATTGTATTCTACTTGTTGAGACTTTTCATTTGATACCCATGTTGATGGGATTGGTATAATCTACGTTATCCGCCATTTTAAACCGGCCGCCATCTTGGATTTCAATTTTTATAGTATATTTTATTCTGCTTGTTGAGCCCTTTCATTTGATACCCATATTGATGGGATTGGAATAATCTACGTTATCCGCCATTTTAAACCGGCCGCCATCTTGGATTTCAATTTTTATAGTATATTTTATTCTGCTTGTTGAGCCCTTTCATTTGATACCCATATTGATGGGATTGGAATAATCTACGTTATCCGCCATTTTAAACCGGCCGCCATCTTGGATTTCAATTTTTATAGTATATTTTATTCTGCTTGTTGAGCCCTTTCATTTGATACCCATATTGATGGGATTGGTATAATCTACGTTATCCGCCATTTTAAACCGGCCGCCATCTTGGATTTCAATTTTTATAGTATATTTTATTCTGCTTGTTGAGCCCTTTCATTTGATACCCATATTGATGGGATTGGAATAATCTACGTTATCCGCCATTTTAAACCGGCCGCCATCTTGGATTTCAATTTTTATAGTATATTTTATTCTGCTTGTTGAGCCCTTTCATTTGATACCCATATTGATGGGATTGGTATAACCTACGTTATCCGCCATTTTAAAGCGGCCGCCAACTTGGATTTCGATTTTTATAATATATTTTATTCTACTGTTTGAGCACTTTCAATTGATACCCATATTGATGAGATTGGTAAAACATAAATTATCCGCCATTTTGTAGCGACGGCAATTTTGAATTTATAATGGTAATGAATAAACATAATTATATTGTCACCAAAATCCAAAGTGTATACAAAATTACAGATTAATCGGTTGACGGGAAGAGGGTGAAATTTGAATTACTAAATTTGACCCAAGAAAAATTAAAAATTAAAAAAAAAGAATAAAGAATAAATAAAACGAACTGGGTGAGCTAAATAAAACCGTTTAAAAAATAGTATAACTTAAAATATATCAAGCAGAGGTCAGTTACAGTGCAAAGGCTAAATAAGTTTTAAATCGACATTATTTGAAAAAATGTTTCAAACATCTAACCCATATACGCTTAAGGCGCATGCGCGACCTTGCATCGCAGGCGCCGCGCTGTCGGCGTGCGCCAGGCGGCATTTGTTTGTTTTTGGAATAGAGAGAGCAAGTTTAAAAATTAGGTTAGCAAAGCACGCGCTCTATGGGACATCAACTCGGTGTCGACCGTACGCGTGTATGGAAAGTTTTAATGGAAAATGGCCAGCACCCGTACCATTATAATCGAGTATAGTTATTAATTCATACCGACTTCGAGCCTAGAATGGCATTCTGCAGATGGATTTTAAACAAACACGATAAAGACAGTGAATTTTCGAGCCGTAAAACGTATCGATATTTGAAAAAAAGTGGTATCAGTGAATCGTTAAAGTGATTAAACAATCAAAATAATGTGAATGTACGAAATTACTAACTGGTTAGTGCTTGAGTTCAATCCATCTGGTGAAGATGAAGTATTTAAAGGTAAGTAAACAACTAAACTTTATTCACTCTTGCTATATGTATTACAACTAAATTGTATAAACAAGGATATAGACTAATGAAAACAGTTTTAATCTCAGTCGTTGTTTTCAGTTACATTGACAATATTCTTGATAGTTGATAGATACTTTTTTTTATCGATAATGAGTAAAATTTATGTTCATACTTTTTAATTTTAATAGTGCTTTTACAAACAGTAGCTTAAAGAAAGTAAATATTTCCCGTAAGTTCATAGCATGTATAAAATAATAATTCGTAACAACAAAAACAAAAGGCTAAAAATCAAAGCGTTATATCATAAATATATCAATGTACCAATCAGTTTTGGCGGCGTAAATCAACCCGACCATAAATCCGATGGGATTGCTGTGTATGCAAATCGGTGTCACCTATCGGCGGGCCGATCGTAATTCGATACACGACAAAACCCGGATTATCGGACCGGTCTAAATTTTTACCGACTTGTACCGACCCGGGTAAATTCGTTTCAGGTCCACGGGAATCGCTTATGGGATCCCGATGTCCCTTTGCTGATGTAAATAACATCGTCTTTGAATCATTCCATTGTGTTACAAAAATAATTTAAATTATATGATAAACTTGATTAAATTTAAAGTTAAAATAATATAATAAGATCTGAAAAAAATATTTGACCCATTACTCCGTATAAATAATATTTTTTTTTGGTTAACCAAACATATAACCCAAAATAATAACTATATTTTTTAACACGATTTTATAACACAGAAAAACAGCTAATAAACGGATTCTATGTAAATATTAATTCATTGTTATGTGCCTCAAAGTCAGCTTTCAAAGATTTAAGTTTTATCGGTTTATTCAGCTTGAAGTAGCAATTATTGCTTAACAAAGGATGTTCAGACCAGTCTAATTGGGATTGTACGGCCAAATGATTAAGAATTTTCGTTTAAAGCAACGTTTTTTAAGGAAACGTAATAAAGTAGGTGCCAATTAGATTATAAAACACCTATTTTATTCAGTAGTAAATAAATTAACTAATGCAAGTAAATACACTGTTTGGTGTTGTTTTTCTTTAGGGCTTTTTAATATTACATAAGTTTGATGCTTGAGTATTGTGAGGGATATCTAATATCTAAGTAACTTTCATGATCGATTGGTTACATCATTTTTGTAGTTCATTTGAAATTAATCTGAGCATAATATGTATTGATAATTACGATTGCTATCGTCATACAATGTAAAATTCTAGATACGTTAACTTCTTGTATGAAACTTAATTGACGGTTCAGTTTTACTAGTAATATAACAACTATATTTTATACATAACAAAGATAAGTAAACACTATCCATACATATATAGTTCAGTTTTCATGCTTCTCGCATTCCAACAATTCACCAAAATTTATCACTTTGACGAAGGTGAATCATTAAATAGGGACTTTGATTACTCGCAAAGCTTTGGACACATTTAGGTTTTTAGAATTGAGAAAACACTCACCAATTATTCTAATAGAATTTCCATTTCTTTCTGAATATTTGTCACCTCGTATTAAACAATTGTTTTATTTTTTTTTTTTATATTTTTATACGATTTAAATATTTTCTCTTAAAAGTGAGTTCGTTTTTAAAATTTCAAATATTTTGTTGGCATTTTATATTTTTTAAATTTCTTATAAAATAAAAAGCTTTAATATGATATTTTATGAATTTAAAAGTAATTTTTGCACCTCTATAACTTATAAATCATAGAAGATAGGGTAATATAAAATACATAAATTCTCTTTTATTATTATTAAATTTATTTTAAAAATAATTTAATTCCTCAAATTGGACATAATAAACCAGTATTTTATACGAAATTGGTTTAAGTGATACACAAAGGGTCAATGACATAATTTTTGGATGCGGGACATCATTCAACGATCTCACGTACTTGTGAATCTTCATAAAATATGGCTTTATTTCTTCTTTGTTCTATAACTTATATGTTGAAAAGATTTTGAACTCTATCTTTAAGAAAAGTCATAAAATTTATCTTTATTTCTTTGGGATATACAAATATTTGAAGTCTTACTAGTACTGAATATAAGTTTGTCTCTAAACTAAATACCTACAGTTTCTTCGTTGTGTTATAATTAATATAATTATTGCATACACATATGGAATATATTAAAACTTATTAAGTAAAACTTATACTAAGGTTTTATAAAAGTTACGCGGCGTTTGGATCTGCTTATTGATGAAGTCGTAATAAAAAGACCGTTAAAAATAAAATATACTTTCTACGAATAAAATCAAAGATATTACTTAATTACTAGATAGAGGAATAATGTTTTGTAGGCAATTTAATTCATAATTATGTTGACGTTTTATTTGTTAATTATATTTTAATTGACTTCTTAGCTTTAATGTTACAAGATTTTATTTTTAGATTTGTAAACAAATATATATTTGGAAGACTAGATATTATTAGATATAATAAAAGTACAGTAAGATACCGAAATGCTTATTTGTAGTCATTATAATGATTTATGAATTAAAATTCTGATAGTTATTTTAGAATGAATGGTTACTCTGCAACCACCGTAATAAGTAGTAGATACATTACAGTTGTTTTAAAATTTAGATATCGTGTTTTGTCTCATGTCGGTATCTATATATATATGTATATATATATTGATATAGTGTATGTTAAGTTAAGCAGTTATAATAGAGTAATATATCCATTCATTTTTATGAAATATTTCAATTTGTATAGGTTACATTACATTATTCTTGACTGTTAACAAGATTGGTTTAATTTTGAGCAATTTGCAATTAAATATTCAATACCCAGTAGGTTTCATTAAGTGAGTGCTTCAAAGAATTTTGTTGAGTTTTTGTTACATCTCGTTTTTGACCAGTTTGTTCACATTCATGACTCTCTCGCCTTCTGTCAAATATTTTGCAATTTTACGTCCAGACATTTGTTAACAAAGTTAATTTGCATTCAAATCATTTCTTAACATATTCGATACCAAAATTAACATTTCAAAAGTAGGAAATATTATGTGTAAGTGAAATTAGTGTTTTGAATAAAATATTGCATGTTCAGTTTGAGTATACAAAAAATGTTTAACTAGATTAGTTGCGATTTAATCAGAGAAATAAGCAAATTGACTATTTTTAAGGTTTGAAAATATTTATTTCAAATCATGAAACATGTTTATGCACATCATCATCAGCCTATCAGAGCTTACTGCTGAGCAAAGGTCTCTTCTCACATGGAGAAGATATGTACATAGATGTATGTATTTATTGTGAAGGAGAAGTTTAGTTTGTTTTTGTTATAACTGAGTCTTGGTACCCCATTCCGTATCTGAAACCAGTTCAAAATACAAGATCGTCACAGTTCGCTCGTTTACAAAGCATAACACATAAACAGATTAAAACAAGCAAATTCACTATAGTATAATAACTGGAACGAAACGGAATTATTTTTTTCGATATAAAAATAATTCGATTCGATTTTTTATACTCAAAGACTTTTTTTATTAAATTTCATATATAATAATTGTATTAAAGAAGTCAATAGCAAAATTCTCTTGTTTTGGCAACAAAGCAACATCGATGGTTTAAAGAAACCATATTTATTTTAAAATTTATGATATTAGACTTAAATTTTTAGTATTATTTAATAGTAATTTTATCATATAAAATATACATTGAATAACTGTGACCGCATATATTATTAAAATAAATCGATTAGATGACAGATATAAGTTCTTTGTCGACATGAAAGAAACATGTAAAGGTATGCTTAGTCTAAGTTTGCCTTCAAATAACCTATGTCAAAACTATAACGTGCTATATTTATGATGAAAAACTGTTAACGTTGCGTATAAAGTAATGCCAACTAGGACTAACTATACGGAACACTAAGTGGCTGAATTAAGATAAGACACAGCCTTTGATCAGTAGTCGCAAAACTAAACATATCAAACGTCATATTTTGCACATAGCTATGCAGATTTGCATATATCTGCATCAGGAGTCGTGTCATGCAGTGCAGTGTCATATAATAGTATGCATGCATAATGGAACAAAGACTGGTTCAATAATGATTTATTCGGAATGAATACAGAAATTTTGCTGGAGATGAGCTCTTATCAAATATTGAAATATTGAAATAATTTTTTTAGCTTATTTAAACATTAAGTATTGCTTTTAGGATTTATTTCCATTATAGTTTTTTGTATGAAATATTTTACTGAGCACTCTACATCAGTTTATTCAACTTTGCTGATAATTTTTATCAATGGTGATAAGCTTTATTGACACTTCTTATCACTCTCGCTTCAAGAGAATAATAGATCGTTGTATTGTCTGTTTATTCTGACCGTAACATTTTATTGAGTCCTTCACACTCTTTGTTTGATCTCAAAATTTAAATATGTATTTTAGTTTAGTACACTTATCATTGTAAAGTGTCGTATAAGTTTTTGGTTTGAAGAATGACAAACCAATAAAAAAACTCCAAAGACATTTAGGAGAATATATATTCTAGTCTAATTTATAAAATACAAAGGTTTGCTTCGTGCTTCATGTATTTTTAATACAAAAAGCGCTTTTCAATTGTCTCCTGATCACGGTTACCGTAAACTTGTCGAAACGAGCAATAATAAATTACGCAGAGTAAATACTTAAAACATATTATTAAATATGTACTCGAGAAAGTCTCAGATCTCATTCCTTGGAGTCTTAGTTTAAGTAAGTTACCGACAATTTTTCTTAAGGGAAAAAAATGTGTTTTATGGTTGATGACTGGAGAAAAAATCGTCATTAAGACACCATGTCTGCATATCACCTCATGCTCTCGTGTAGGGCTAACAGGCAGTAGCATTTTGGATTATTGTTCCAAATTATAATGAGGTTGCAAAACCACTTCTTGGTTTTTATAAAGATGTAATTTCACATTTGTAGTGTATAGGGGATTTTTATTATTTTAAATCAAATGAAATTCCTACTATTTCCTAGGAAACCTAGAATTTTTTTCGTCTACGTAGTAATATACAGCGTAGTATTAAGTAGTTATCACGTAGTATATCAATTCCACAAAATTCCTGAGGTTTTAGGAGTAGGTTTCTGAATTTGACACCGAAGCAAATCTTTAGCTTAAGAGACGCTTTTAGAGATATATCAGAGATAATGTATTTTGAATTAAAACCGACTAGATAGTCCCTACTTAATTTGTCATAATATCCCTGTAAAGCGATCAAGTGCGTTTTTCAAATGGAAAAAGTAAACAATTTTTTGTATTTGAACGTGTGTGGAATTCTTATTCTCAAGTTTAAAACTCTTACTTTAGGAATTCAGTTATATTATTTTTTATTATGAATTATCTTAAAATACATATATATTTTCTGCCTCTATATGAAAAGCGACTCTACTTTTTGTCAGACGCTAAATTTTTCTAAAATTACTACAGACACCTCAGAATCAGGTTCGACCAATTTGTTTATTTACATATATGAAATAAGATACTAATAATAACTTATCATCTCGTCTGCCCGTGATCACGGTTTCTGTAAAGTAGTCGTAACGTCGGGAATGTGTAGTTTTTATCAAAAATAAAGTCGCGTAGTACATCCGAAGAATAGTAGTTTCATTTAAATAACAATAACTTAGGTATCTTTATATTGTCTATTGTATAGAAGATATCTTTGAACACATTTAATTATTGACATTTGAGACGTAACTTCTTTGACATATTACTCAGGGCAATAGATTTTTTTTATGCAAATATTTGACTCGATAGTCCATGATAAGAGTCAGAATAATAAAATTAAAATTGTTTTATTGCAAAAACAGCTTAAATGTCATGCGAGTAATCATTAACTACATAAGCTATCAGTGTCGTTTTTAATATGGATAGTTTTGTTCCGTATGGAAACACGGAAAATTTTGTTAGTTCAGTTTTAGCACTCTAATTGGCTGACTTATAGGAATTTAATTATTTATGAACTTCAAACTTGATAGTTATAAAATTAAATTTTCCTATATACGTTCTAATTTCGAAATACCAAAATCGGAATTTCGATGGTACGAAACTTTATGCAGGAAATTGTTAGATTAAAGGACTTTTGGTTAGCAGATAAGATTAAACCATAGTGAAACTAATTGGCAGAATCAACCAAAATCGATTTCAAATATGTATGTATGGAATGGAACTGTCAACCTTGCTCAATCCCTATTTCGAGTAACCCAAAAAAGGGTCAAACCCATTGCAAGCACTTATAGGCCGATAGAAATGTAATGTGTGAAAGCAAAAAAAATAAACGCCTATTTTTTATAGTAACGTATTGAAATAGGTAAAGATTTAGGTATATAATTATGGTAATATAGAATTATTACGTACAATCAATTAAGCAATATTATCACTGTATATGAATAAAAGCAAAATATTTTCAAGTCGGAAATTCAAATAGAAATAGAAGTAAATCCAGGAGAAAACATAAGCTAATTGTTTATAAATAAAAATAAAGTTTAGTTGGTTTACAATACGAATTATTTAATCTTTGATTCACGCTTATTTGTACATAATGAACGTGACAAGCTGATAAGGACCGTTATATGAGACAGGCGTGGTATATGTATTAAGTTTAGAGGATTTATAAACAAAATATAACATACCTGTAATCTATATCGGGGGCTTCGAATATATAAATTGAACCATACATCCCAGCCAAAAAGACTGGAAACAGCAAAATTGCATAGTTCACTATGTTATATCTACCAAAAGCACCCAATTCTTGGAGGATAGAGTCCAATCCTATGTCTTTGGCCATAATAACAATTATATTATCACTAATACTATAATGAAAACATTTTTAACCAAAAAATCACTCTCGTCGATGTCGATTTGAAGTTGACGTTGTTCACGCATGCGCGTTACTTGACGTCTTTGCGCGAACTGTTATACGCGATATAGGTTAAAAAAATCTATTCAATATTCATAGCGCACGAACCCAGCTGTGGCTCAACCCTGTGTGTTCGTTATAAAAATAGTTTACAAAGTCTCGTTACATTTATGTGTGAAAGAGATAAAAGTTAAAACTGGTTCCGCTGTACGAGAGAGAGGAAGATAGTGTTTGGGTCTGTCAATTTAATTGATGTAAAATATAATGACTTCGAAATGTATTGAAGTTTAGTTAAGGGGGACCGTTAAGAATAATAATAGTGACAGTCTTATTAAATAATTTAACATACTGTAATGTCCTTATAATAATACTTTCACTCATATTTTTGACTAACAAAAGCTTTATTCACATATTTTAAGATATAATTATTAAATTATATATATGGTTGTAGAGTTTTTGTTTATATCTATATATATATAAAAATGAATTGCTGTTCTTTAGTCTCACTAAAACTCGATATCGGCTCAATGGATTTATCTTATTTTAGTCTTGAAATGTTCGTGGAGGTTCAGGAAAGGTTTAAAAGCTGAGAAAAATTGTTTCGTTTCCGGGAAAACCCTAAAACCGCCCCTTTCTATTTCACATACAAACTTTTTTTTACATTAGATTGGACAACTAACTAATATGTTAATCATTCTGTCGCACTTTAAAACAGGGAGATTTATGGCTTACAGGTAAACTCCAAAAATATAAATAAAAAAACGTAACAGATATTTCTTGAGTATAGAGCGATACAAAGTTCGCCGGGTCTTCTAGTATGATTATACTTTTAATGATCTCAAACAAAATATATAAAATGTATGAAAAATATGATCAAAAGTTTAGTGATAAGTTTTTAAATAATATAATACGATTGACCTAAACCTTTGCTTGTTATGAATGTGATTATTTATGACGAATTTTTTTTATTGAACTGACAACATTTTTCCTGTCTCGTCGCGTAGGCATGTTTGTTCTGATAATAAGGTAACCTACTCTGTTAATAGCAATTCTCTTTTTAATGCGACAGAAAGCAAATATTCAAATTGTGACCTCAAATATAGGATTGCGATTCAGAAACACAGGTTTCTGTGCAAACTGTCCAAATAAATAACTGTATGTTTACTCTATGTTTGTACCGTCACACTACATACGGATAGATTTCAGTTTTTAGTTTATAAATCGTCGCATATTTTATATAATATAAAATGAACCTAGGTAATTGAGTTACAAACGGGACGCGGTGTGTAGTAACGAAACGAACTTATGGTAAGCGATCGTTTTTCTTTTGAAGAACGACACACTTCTGTAAGTGAAGAACATTGAAAAATAGTATCATTTCCTGACACCGCAGGACAAACACTTTCGGTTAAAGAGAATATATGAATAAAGATATGATATCGATAATCTTTGAACTTAACAAACATTTTAAACATTAAATACTTTTCTTTGAGTTTTAATATAATATGCCGATAATGATAGTTTGAATTGAATTTTGGGACATTTTGGTTATCTCAAAGTTTGCAGATGTCATTATCTACAATCGTTCAACTTTTTTGCCACACAATAAGACCTGAATATGTAGCAGTTAATTTATTCTTACTCTATCGTTGCTTTTTATTTCTTTTAACATATTTGTAAATTTATAAGGATTAGGCGTAGTTTTTTTTCATAAGTTTTTAATCGTAGAGTCGTATTTGTTATAACGAATAACTTAACTGAATTAAATTTCTAATGAAACAACAATAATTTATTAATTGGAGGAATACTTTAAAAAAAGGTTCTTGTTTATTAAATTGACCTATAATTTTTTAAAATTTTGTTTGTATATTGGAGTTGAAGTCGCAAATTGTGAAAGCCTTATTTTAGTTAGAACCTATTCACCTGTTGTTTATTTTTATAGAAATAGGTGAATAGAATAGACAATAGACCAGGGGGTATCCCAATATTATACGTAGGTAACACAAGTGCAGGCAAATTATTCTAATCCTTTTCCATATTCATTAGGAAGGAGCGAATTTCTTCGTACCGACATGTCTCTACCCAGTTCAAGATAGTGAGATGATATTTGGCAATGCCTGCCCGGTTGCCTAGCAGTATTCCACATATGATCTGATCTGTGCTTCATATAAACAAAGAATTCGTCCCGTCGTCTAATACGTACTACTACACTTTTTCAAGGACATCAAGTTTCCTTGCAGTTAGCTTTAGTCTTAGCTTACTAATTACTTACTTATATACTACTGTATCATAATGTTTGAAGGTTGACCACAGAGATGCATCCCACAATGGTTAATGAGATCGAGACAAGTCTTTTAACGCCATTTTGCATAACTATTTAGCTTGGTTGTAAGTCTATTTTAGAATTAACATGCGGAGTTTGTCGATTTTATACTTTTTGTCGTAACCACATAGCTGTGGTAAATAGGTTAACGTTGCCACCAATGGGCACTTTGTCGTAGAGAATAAAGTTTTCTATGGTCTGAAATATAAGTTACTGCACCCGCTCCTCTCAAAGGATATCCAGTAGAGAAGCAAACCTGCCAATGACGAAAAGATGTAAAAGAAGTGTCGCATCTCATTTCAGTCTACTGATTTGTATCGCCATATTTGCTTTTCACTGTGAAAGTAGTGAGAATCGTTTAGTGAAATCGATCAAATTTAGCCAAACAGTGGTCAGAGTTTCCAAATGGGGAAGTGATTTTGGCGAATCTGTATTGTTCTGTTCTCATTAGGAGATCATGGCAATTGTCTGTGTGGTCATCTTCACCGGTAATCCCCGTAGCCTCCTTTACCAGTTTTGAAGGATTTATCGATAAGGCGAAATTCTGAGTTTCTTTTCACTCCCAGCGTAGTCAGTCTGCTTATATGGAAACAGTAACTCTTAATAATGGTCCATTAAGTCTCTTAAAGCACTAATTGTGCTCATTGTCTGTTCAGGTTCATCCTTCAGAAAAATTCGTTAATCACATGACCTTATCTGTTGGGTGAAAAATATAACGATTCCAAATGCTCTGGCCTGACCACAAATAAAAAAAAAGAAATTTGTTTATTATGAAAAGGAGATTGTATTTAATTAGCTTATATTACTAGGAAGATCTAATATTTAGACATTTTAATATAACAAATACACATTTATATAATAATGGTAAATAAATTTAATTTATTTAATAGAAGCTTTGAGGAAGATAATTTTGTATGTCAAGTTGCTCACATATGCTTATGTTTATAAAATTTATGTCAACAATGCAGCGATCCGCCAGTTAGAAGGTAATCTTTCAATTTAGCGAGCACATAGCTTCTTAAACCTTAAATTAGATTTATATCCTCGTGTCTTCCATTGTAAATAATATGTTCTTTTCGTTATATTTGTATAACAGGGAATTGTTTGTTAAAATTAATATCTACTCTATTTTATTGCACAGAAGGCAAAAAGAATTTTTTGTATCTATATGGTCAAATTAAATTTGAATACATCGATAGGTTATTCGAATTAAAGTTACTTAATGTAAAATTTTAATAATATACAAGTCAGTAGTGGCCTAGTAGTTAAAGAGCCCGCCTCTCGTGCACGAGGGCGTGGGTTCGATCCTGGAAAGTACCAATGTGATTTTTCCGAGTCATATGTACTTTCTAAGAGTATATAGACACCACTGACAGACGGTGAAGGAAACACATCGTGAAGAAACCTGGACATATAATTTCACAATTACAAGTTTGAAATCACCAACACGTCTTGAGCAAGCATAGTGATTAATGCTCAAACCTTCTTCGTGTGAGAAAGAGGCCTTTGGTCAGCAGGAACTGTGATAGTCTGATGACATGCAATATTTTAAAAAAATCTTTTTTAACAATATCTGAATATTATTGATACACAAAGTGAAAATAGAAATAAAAGTTATATATTTTGAATACGAATATATCACATAGGTGTAGACGAATTTTTTTAACCTTATCAGTGAATTGTTAAACAATGTTTACATGTTATCATGCTGTATAAACTTATGGAGAAGATAAAAAAATATTAAGTTACTTTCCAAAATTTTATTCTAGCACATAACTTTAATACTCTGCTCCAAATTCTTTACAATTATTAACTCTCTTTAGAAAACGGGTTGAAAAAATTCCTTCCAGTATACTCAAATTTTTAATTCGCTGATTTATAGAAATGTATTTTTAATATTATTGAATAGTTTAAGAAAACTATTGCAATTGATAGTTTTTTTATAGCACTCGATTCTTGATAGCAACTACTAAGGAAAAATTTTAAGATGTGAACTGATATATCGTATAAATATGCACGTTTAAGTATTATAGAGAAAGACTGCATATTATTTTGTTAAACATAACAATTTAGAGCCAAGAACTGTGAATGGTTAAAACTTTAATAGCCTATTGATCACCATTTAATTGCCTTTTGATAACAAAATGAACAAAAATTTCCAGTGTTTAACAATAATATTAATAATATAGAAAGTGAAGGATAAGTTCATTAAATAATTTCTTTACAATATTTTTAATATTTAACGTATATATTTGTGTACATTATATCTCAGTTCTTAAAGTGACATGGGCGATTTATCTCGAAAGTAGAGGTTCCTAAATTGTTCAGATTGAAACACACTATAGGGAAGAACAGATAATAGTATTTTTTTGTAAACTTTCTAATAATAAGAAAACTGAGATTTTTGACAGTAAGAGGAATATTTACAAACAAAAAATTAATTTTGAATTTAATTCTGAAAAACGTCCTTACAAATCATTTTTTATATTACAACTAATTGATCGAAAATTATTATCTTACATATATTTTGGTTACATTTACAAAATAAATGCATAAAAAGAATTATGATTATTCTTATTACAATTAATCGGTGTTTGTACTCACT